AACCTGCCATCTTAGGTTTATGTGGCTGGCACCTTAGCTGCTTGAGCCCCAGGCGCTGAGCCTGATTATACTATTAAATACATTATAAATAAAAATGGAAAAATGCACAGTTCCATATATTATATGTATGTATATTTTTAAAAAACAGAAATATTTTGTAAAATCCACAACAGGAAAATCATCAGAAATTATTTTTCTAAAATAGTGTCCAAAATTCTTTGATGAGTGTATGCTAAGTTTTAAATAATAAATGCACTAACTGTTACCTATTTTCTAACAGATCCTCCAATGGGATACAATTATCTATGTCAGCAAATAGCAGGCAAAATTGTTTGAATGTTCTGAGTATACAGTTTTCTGATGTCAGGGACGTCTAACCTTTTTTCTTTTCTGTCGCACATTGGAAGAAGAGCTGTCTTGGGCCACACGGTAAATACACAAACGCTAATGAAAGCTGATGAGCAACTAAAAGGCCCCCCGCATACTTTCTGTGATATCCAGTATCATAGATAAGCAAAATAAGTTCGCACAAAATCAGCGTGCAGTCTGTGGGCCAGCTGCAGGTTGGACTACCTGATTGATGGCAAGTCAAAAGGACAATTAAATTTGTATATAGAGGATCTTAGTATCTAGAACAACTCAGTGGCATGTGCATACTTCTTCCATTTTACATACACAGAAGGGAAGGATTAGGAAGTTCAAGTATCTTGCGTGAGGTCACACAGACACTGGGAGGAACAAACAGGATTTGAACTATGACCACTCTGACTCGGAGATAAGCTCTTTACCAGGACACACTTTTACAAATCTAAGGCAAATCTAAGAATCCAAACCTTCTCGAATCATCTATGTAACATTTCAGTTCCATAGAAGATATCTTCAAATGTACCCACAGAAGTCCCAAAAATGTACTGAATGGTAAATGTCTTTGTCTTACAAGTTGAGATGCAGATGAAAAGAAAACTGCCTGTTTCTAGGCTGCCCAGCTTTTTAAAGGCTGGAAACCTACACATTAGGCTCTTGGGGTTCACTACTAAGTGGCATTACTGCTTTAAGAAGTATCTGAATTTGTTGCCGAGTGTTGTGTGAGCTGTAGGGGTGTCAAAGCCAGCCAGCACACCCAGTTCTGTGCTTGACTGATCTAGCAGGCCCCACCTGTCAGGTTACCCATCACTCTGGGAGTACCTTCGTGAGAAAACCAGACATGCAAATGAGAGCCACAGTCATCCAGCGTGTCCCCTGCATGTGTACTGGCTGTGCACTAGTGTCACCCTCCCCCGTCTCCCCAGCTAGACACAGGGCTTGGCCAAGCACAGCACTGCACCGTCCTCATGGAAAGGCTGGGCCATCTCAGTATTGCTCTCCCTCTCTTTGCACTGAGCCCTGTTTTGTCACCACCCGCACCACAGAAAACAAATCTGAATCCAGCCAAAGCCTGTAGCCACTGTAAGGAAAAACTCACATGTGTTGGTTGCTGGCTCACACTGCAGCGATAATGTCTGAAGACTCTCTTCATCCATTTCAAGCTCCAAATTGGACAGGTACTGCTTCACTTTTCGAGCCATTTGGGCGTCTTCATAAAGCTTTTTGGCATTGAGAAAGGAACTACGACGTACCCGCTTTTTGTGACCACCTGTCTGAGCAACATCTAGCACTGTTGCGTTTGTACTACCCTGGCTGAGGGACCTGGAAGATGAAAAGGTAGATATGCAGCTCACTCTAGCATGGGATTATTTTATCTGCTTAAAATGTGCCAAGACGTCTATCATATTCCCTGTCCAAAAGATCACATGCCACAATGCAGTAAGTATACTGTTATAAAGGAGTAATAGAGAAAAAATGTTTCAGTTAAAAAAAGCATTACACATATTACATACATAAATATATGTGTTTGGCACCTGTTCTGTTCCAACTAAGAAATTCTACTTTTCACCTGCATGGAGCATTCAGAGCAGTTCTCCGACAGAGTCAGGAAATAATAATTATATATAATATATATATATACATATATATATAATAAATATTTATATATAATAAAAGCTCATGCAAGAATACACAACTACAATCATTAAGATTTACATAGATTAAATGTACTTCTCCTAAACAGCACATTTTACATAGATTTAAACAAAATTAGTTGCAATGTTCACATTTGTTTTCCTATTCTCTGGGTTGAATGTGGTGAGTTTTTCAGTAATATGCACGGACGGTCAATCTGTTAATACAAGGATCATGCAAACGTAAACATGTATATGTATGGAAACTATTTAGCACATGAATTGTTAAGTATTATTTTTAAAAAGGTTTGGTTTACACAGAATGAAAATAGTAGTTAGCTGAGCTGTAAAAAATTTAGTTTTAACTCCTGGGGGCACCTTTTATATATTATACATATTTACTTCTCAAATATCTATGCAGTAGTATTTTAATTGCACAATTTTTCCTTCAATAATACTACCCTTCGTCTCCTCCCCCTATTTTGGAATTTTCCCATTTCAAGACACACAAACTGTATTAAAATAAAATGTTTCTGAAAGTCCAAAAATACGCCTGGCCTAGAGTTCCCCAGAACAATTGTCAAGCATTACATAGCTTTCATGGATCATGACTTCAAAAGCAAAAGCCCCAACAGATTAAATTTGAAGTCAGTTTGCCATCTGAAATTCTGCTACAGCAAGAGGGTTAAGAAAAAAAAAACCGCAAAAATGCAAAGCATCAGAAAATAGAGCAGGTAAGACAACAATGCAATGAGCAGGATAAGAACTGTGTGTGGGTATGCAAGGTCTCCGGCACTTACCCCAAACTCCGCCATTTCTTCTTCCTGTAAGTGAGAGCCATGGAGATTGAAGCACGGGTACAGAAAGAGAGACAGAGAGATCACAAGCTCAGAAAGAAAAGACTAGACTTCTGGATAAGCAGTTCTAGAAGCACACAAATATTAAACTGCATAATTCCCTTGCACATACAACTTTTTCCAGAAATATTTTTCTCGATCAAAAGGAAATATATTGAATTCTGTTTTTCCTAGAAGAAGACTGACTTCTGTCCTTCGCTGAATTATTTTTGTCCTTCGCTTTATTATTTATACCGACAGCTGAATCCATTGTACGGCTATTGAGACACTACTCTTTGGGTTGTTTTCATATTTTAGTTTGGACTATGACTTACAAGTTTTACCTCTCTACAAGTCAGTGTTCTGAAAAATAAGAAACATATAATTGTGACTAATATTAAATCAAAAACGTCTGAAGGACAAATTATGTTTACTGACAGTCTGAAGGGCGCTTGGTGAAGAATAAGACATTTACTCCATATTAGAGTTCCGTGCTGATTCTCAGCACATCCTAATATAATTTCTGCCATACTGCAAATATAAATATTATATTTTTTTCTCAATCGTTGGGAAGTTCTAAACTGAACCTTCTCTAATCCCACATGTGCCACTTAAGACGACACACTCACCGAGTCCTGAACATGAGGGCAGGGTCCATGTTAACAGAAGCCATTCGGCCCACGTGACGAATTTCTTTTGCAATCATCCTTAGCTTCTCAAAATTGACCAGCCCGTCTACTTTTGAGTCGTTCCCTGTAATTGGCAGACGAGACAAGGGAAATCACATGGCATACACTCTACACTGCTATAGGTGCAGCCGGAAATCCTCTACCTCGTACTTACCTTCATGAAGGAACGTGAGATCCTTCTTGATTACTGGGAAAAGAGGGATGATAGGGGGCTGTAGGTTTTGACTATTGAGGACATTGCGATACTTTGCCATGTTTCTGGAGGGATCAAACAGGTCTTGGAGATCTTGAAACAGCTTTTCATATTTATTAGGAAGCTTTTCCCAGGTTGTTCTTAGTCTTGCCACTGGTGCCAGGTTTAGACCACTGAGGGCGGGGGGAAAGAAAAGTGGTACACAATGAAATGGTCTCTCGTGAAATCAAGGGAGTAAAACAGCGCACAGGTTAAGCAGTGACATGTAACACCTCTGCATGTGTCCTTCACAGGCACAACGATTTCCAGAGGGAGGCACCCGAAACTTGCAATGATAACTCTGGGTAACGAGAATGGCTCATGGAAGCAGGGCCAGGGTCAAGCAGGGGGTTTTATTCTTCTCTTCCCTTTATTCCCCCCTCATCTGTCTACTAGCAAAAGCCCCAGGATAGAAGCATTGATGCTTGGTCTCCATACACAGAGCAGTGTGTGGCCCACAGCAGAGGTCTGATAAAACAAACTGGGCAAATCTCCTACAGTAACAAAGTAAAACAAAAACTGTAATAGCAATGAGAGCACAACCAAACTCGCACAGAGAAAATGACTGATGTACTAATCATGCTCAACATCAACACAGCTAACTGTTTCCATGTGTACTTTCTTGCAGCTTTAATCTAAGGATTTAGAAGAAAATTAACATTTATTGGGCATCTATTTCGTGCTGTCTAATGAAACTCCACATACATCACATCATTTAATCCTGATAACTCTTTGGTTTACAGAGAAATGAAATGATGTTCAGAGGAGTTCAAATTATTTGCTGACTGTTATAGAGCTAAGAAAAAAAAGTGGGGGAAGATATAGATTTTCTGGGTTCTGAATTAGCATGTGATAGGTTTTAGATTAAAAGTTAGATTAGCATTTAGAGAAAAAGAATTATTCACTATAAGTCAATTAAGAGCACTGCATTTACACTAATGGTTGTTGTTACTAGACTAGTATTTATTTTTGATCGTAAATGGCCTGTAAATGACATTTAATCTTCAGAAAAATATGCTCTTACCTGATGATTGCAAACATAGAGTTGAAATTCTTGCATTCCCGACAGTGCAGGGCTATCTTGATGAAATGCTTAATGATCTTCATCCTCTTCAGCTGGTTTGTCTCTCGCAGAATTTCAGAGGCTACCCAAAACGTTTCCTGGTTAATGACTTCTTCAAATTTCTTCAGGTTGGCACAGCCAGTTTTTGATTTGAGTTTAAATAAATCATCTATGTATTCAGTAGGTTCGATGTTGCGGAACAGTTCAAAGTTTCGCATGGAGAGCTGGGTGGCCACTTCGACCGTGCTGAGCTGCAGCAGGGAAATCTGACTCTCCCGCAGCAGCTCCTGGGCGTCTTCGTCTGAGCACAGGGTTTCTGTCTCCATGTTGTTTTTCAGGTAATACCTGTGAAAGCCAGAAACATACTGGGTTTAAAGCCTTTGCAGTAGCCTCATGATATCCCTGAAAAGAATAACGCTACTTTTAATGGAAAGTTTGAGAGAATGTGAATCTGAATGACGTGAGGACTCAGTTCACCCACTTCTGAGAGTGCCGGTGCAGTGGCTGGATTACAGACCCTCCCATCAGAGCTGGTGACAGAAACATACAGATTTCGTGGAATTTCATTTGCATCAGCTGTAACTCCTTTTTACCTTTCCTTTCCTGCTTTATAAATCATTTTGTCTTTTTGGCAAAAATGACAGAAAATAGCTATATTTTCTTTTCTTTTTTTTTTGAGATAGAGTATTATTATGTCGCCCTCGGTAGAGTGCTATGGCATCACAGCTCACAGCAACCCCTCCAACTCTTGGGCTGAAGTGATTCTCTTGCCTCAGCCTCCCAAGTAGCTGGGACT